TCACATTAAATATTTTAAAAAATATATATCTTTTTTTTTGTGCAAACTTCCAGTGAGGTGGGAAAATAAGTCACTTACCACAAACGGCTGCATTGATCACTGTGCATTCATCCCTCACACTCTGGGAACAGTTCTGCAAACGGAGGTCTTTGTACGAGCAGTCGTGGAAGCAGGTGGTGTTCGGCGGGGATCTGGTTTTGTTCACGTCATAGACACGTCCAAAGTTGAGGTCCTGACAGATCTGCTCGACCAACAAATCTGTGGAGTTGAGCCAGAGCGCCACCACATCACCGCTCCTGTTTCCAGGCAACCTGAGAGTCCAGTTGAATTTATTTTGGTGGACGTAGGGGTCACCTGAGGTCAGACACAAACAGAACATTAATACAATAAATACACAGTGAATATTTGTGCGTGTGACAGTTTATTCAGGAAATGTTTCATTCTCAATTTGTAAAATAATAATAATCTGTATTTTAGGAACTTCTTTTCAAAATCCAGATTACAAAGTTCTTCACAAGGCAGATTTAAGGAAACCTTAAAGCTGATGGGAAGAGGCTGAAATATAAAATCTCTATTTATCAAACCTTTCTCTCTGTCTTCATTTCCTCGATGTGTTTTTACTCAACGATAAAACTAAATGTTCAGATTTATTTCTGTTCACTTCATTCTCTCTCTCTCTCTCTCTGCTTAAATGTGTAAATTAGAGTTTATTATCTCCACGAAGGAGATTACACAGGATTATCTTTTTCAATTAGTCGTAGGGACTTTTTCTTCTTTTCCTCAACTTCTACGAGAAAAGTTCACGGATGTTAAAACTAAAGTCTGGATCTAGTGAACTGTTTCACACAGTCTCAGTTTTATTATTGTTAGTTTGCCAAGATCACATTTCTACAATTCTGAATTGAAGCGATTTGCGAAAGCGAAATGTTTCAGGGGCATAACTAGGTCACATTGGATGTAGCTGAGGGTGAAGTCACACAGAAACGAGCAGCGTCTGTGTAGGAGAGACACCGTTCAGTTTGCACCTGCAGAATTCAGCCCACATCCTGTGAAAAACAAGGCCACTCTTACAGCTTGTGAGATGTTCTGAACGTTCATACTGGTAATAGTCAAATATTGTGTTTGTGTGTGTGTGAATACAAATTTAATTTACCTTTGGGTTCCTCCAGCATGACTCCCCCTGTATTATTTCCATCTGCTTTCCCCTGGACACGAGTTGAGTCTGAGTTTTGAAATAATGGATATTTGTTTTAAAAAAAAAAAAAATCAATTATCCATGATGCGTGTTCCCACCTAAACTCAGTTCTACATATTTTCAAGCCTTAAATCACAAAAAAAGTACTTTTTCTAAAATGTACATGACATAATTGAGTTTATTATTTCCTCCACGTTCATCTTGTGATATTATTTACTCTTCTTATGATTAAAATGTGTAAAAAACCACAACAACTCAATCATTGACAATATTATATTTTCACACCATTAATTAATTTCATTGTAAGAGCCACTAATAATGTAAACACATTACACATTACATTTATACAAAGCTCCTGAAATGTTTAACTCCCCGTGAAAATAAAATCCTCTCAGTTAGAGCCAGAGCTCTTGTCTGTTCGATAAAGTTTTAAAATGACATTACCTTGACAGAGACAGCAGCTCAGGTGGATAATGATCATGTATTTCACCAGCTTCATCTTGTTGAACAGTTTCTGTCGTCTCTGCTCGAAGCTGAAACTCATCTGAACAACGTGCTGCTGGCTCTTTGTGTGTATCAGTTGATGGATCTTCCTATTTCTATGAGCGTTTTCAGGAAGTGAAGCTCATGGCTCCGTCACTAAAGCCACCATCAGTTTTGTCAGCTCTGCTAATGAGGCATTCTATTTTTTAACCATCTAAAAATCCTGCTTATATTTCCTTCAATTTTCTCTTGAAATCCTGATGTCACCTGCAGTCGTTGCCCTGGTTTCCATAACAGTAAATCTATTTTTAATTACAAGTGAAGGCTGAATGTCTAAAAACATGAATTCATAT